ACCAAGATAAGCATAGCCTATCATCTCCTCATATTCTATTTGAAAATTAATCTTAATTGCCCCTTTGGGCAAGTAAGGACCAAATTCCTTAGGATGAATCATTAGTGGGGTTGGTTGCACAAGCTAAAGTGGAACTAGATTGAATGAGCCAAAGGAAATCATGGCAATATTGGTGGTAATGGTTCCTTCTTCACTTTCTAGTTAGATTTTTTTTCTTCTTTCTCAAAAGGAACTATTAAATCCTTCAATGCTAAACACTTATTGGTTGGATGACCTATAATTCAATGATACTTACACTATTTTAGGTCATTTATTCACCTAACTTCCTTTAAGTGCTTAAAAGTTGTTAAATGCCAACAATAGCTCAAAGTTGTTGACTATTTTAGAATTTGCAAATGAATACTCCTTTTGTTGCAAATCCAATATAGACTTCTTTTTTTGGCCTAGATCTTCAACAATCTTAACACCTTGTTTAAGATTTGGCTTAGGCTTTTATTGTTAGATCTTCATAGGCGATATACTTACAATAGTTTCTATTCCTTTTAAATGCTTTACCTCATTTTTCATCCTTTCAAGATTCCTTCTTCTAGCAAGTGTTTGTTGGAAAGATGTTACCATACGTAGCAATTTAGATTTCCAAGTCATGGGCAAGAGTGACCAACTCTTCAAAAGTATATGGTATATTGGCTTGGAAGTTGTACAAAAGTCCTTAATGCATACAATGCATATATATATCAATGGAAGAAGCTTACTAATCTTTTGTCAACAATTTAAAATGAGAGTCGTCCATCATTCAATGAAGTTTGTCACAAAATCAGCCTATTTTTGCTAAGTGTTTGCAAGCTTGGGCAGGTTAACAATATGCTTGGTAAGAATTGGATTCCTATCAAACCTTGAGTGTATATATATTTAGTCCAATTCTTTGAATGGGATTATCAGTGCTGGTTCCAACTATCCACTGACCTAACAAAAAAGTAAATGTACTATTCAAACGTTGTATCTTCTAAGACTCAGACAAATTGTTTCACTATGAGATCCACATAATTGCCAACATTATTACATTTTTCAATAAAATAGATAATGTGCTGCTTTGGGTTGCCCTTCCTATCAAACTTTTGAAATCTTAGTGAATGGCAACTATCTAGTCAGAGATTATCAATCTTGCAAGTGTGAGGCTTGGCATACATAAGTGAGAATTGTGACTTCCCACACTACTGAGTTTGAATCACTTCATCAACCAAAAATTTAAGTTATAAAAATGTAAGGCACACCACAATAATATGGGCAGTGTCTCGAAAAATACTCTAGAGGATTGTTTAATGCAACTACTCTTGTTTTTGTTGTCTCAAGCTTTTTTCTATTCCACCTTACCTACCTTCATCTAGGGTCTTTAATAGGTCTTCCTTATTTTCAAGGGTTTTCTCAATGGTTGAGCTTAACATTGTTGGACTATTTTGGTTTCAAAATTGTTGAGCTGTAAAGATGTTTTAGAGTTCCTTGATTTAGGTAACCTTTTTAACTACAACTTTTCTTAAGCCTTCCATAACCTTGAAGAGAGCATTTAGGTCACCAAGCATCACTTTAGTAAAAGTAGGAGGGACTCAAATGATAAGGAAAGATAATTAGCCCACCTTAACTTTGGAGCAAGCACATGACTAGGTTTGAGGTTGATTTCTTCACATTCACTACATTTTGAGAAGAAGTACTCCACATCTTTCATATGTTAGAAAGGCAACTAGATGGCTAGTGATCATCTTCTTAATGTAGCCTCCTTTTGGCGTCTCTTGGTGAACTGCTTTAGAAGGACACTAACTTGGATTTTATCATACGCATCTTAGCATGAGTTAACAAGGCAAATTGATTAGAAAAGATTTGAGCTTTTGAACTATAAGAGAAGTTACAATTAGCTTTTAGTCTACCATGCTTGGTAGGATGAGATGTAATTTTTTTTTTTCAACTAAGAAATTGAGAGGTAGAGATGTCTTTAGTGGAGTTGCCAAAGATAAGTGTTATAAAATTTGTAAAATCAAATAATGTGCATTGATTTGTAAAATAATAAATACAAATTACAATGAATTTAAAAGAAATGAAAAACAATTTCTAGTTTTAAATGCTGCAATGTACATGTTCAATCTTAAGTAATGGTATGTCTTGAACAGCACGATCTTCTAATTGACAATTGAATTTAGAAGAGCAAAGGCCTGAGCTTGATCTTGTCCTTCTAAGGATTTGAGATTTGTCTGTGAAACTTTCCTTCTCGACAAGGACTTGCAACTTACCTTTAGTAGGGAGTAAAATCTCCCTTAGTTGGAATTTATAATTTTGAGAATTATCGAAAGTACTTAAGCTTGCTATTATTCTCTTTTTCTCCTTCTTCTCTTCCACCCTCATTTTCTTCATATAAATAGCTTATTTAGAGCCAAAGGAAGTTTGTTAAATGACTTCAAATACCCTTCACTTTAAGAATAATTTAGTTATTTTATAAATAAATTTAATTTAATTAAAAAGAAAATCTCTCTTTAAAGATTTATCACCTCAACTTCCAAAATTTTATCGGGGTAAAAAATATTTTAATTTTAACAAATTTTTTTAATGTCTATATTCATATAATTGATTATTTCTTTATATAAGTAATTATGTTAACAAAATAACCAATTATTTCAAATTTGTAACCAATTATATTTTAATTAATAACAAATTATAAACTACGATGTTTTTTGATTTATAACCAATTATATTTAGTTTATAACTAATTATAATTACATTAAAGCAACTATATCAAAGCCAACAAAAGTATAACCAACTATATTCTTTATATAGTTGACTATAATTACTAGAAAATCATTTTTCTTAAGATCATCCAAACACAAAAATGTTGCACAACTTTTCACTCAACAACACAATCTACCCAGTACAACCATCCTTTTGGCAACTTAATCTAATTTGGAAGACTAACCAAACAAGCCAAGGGTTTAGTTAAATTAGATGGGTGGCATGGCGACTCAAGGTTTTTAAGGTTCATTAGAGTTGGTTAAGAGGTTGGCTATAAAACCATAAAACAATAGACTTTTATTGGTCCCTATAAGGATTTGGAGGCGATAATTTATGCTCTACATGTTCCTTGTGCAACACTTTAATATTTGTAAGATTTCTTTTTATCAAAAAAAAAAAAAACCATTATATTTAACTTGCAAAAGGATGAAAATAGCACAATTTGTAGAATTGAAGAATCAAAAAAGTAATGAAAATAGTTTAAGAACCAAAAGTGTTCAAAAATCAAAGTATTAGGACTCAAATTAGCATTTAACCTATTTTTAGTCTACTTCAAACATAATATCTCTAATATCTACTATATTAATTGCCTTTTATTTCTTAATGCCATGAAGTAGTAGATGAAATTGAGGTCACTTAAGAAAATTCAATCATTAAACCCTACTTGGTCACTATGCACGAGCTTTGCTCCTCTAAGTCTAACCTTGAAACTTGATTGAAAGTATCCATCGGAATACAAAAATGGAGGGTTTGTAATAAATCAAGAGAGATATTTGGTTTTTGATTTTGGTTTTTTAGGGTTTTTATTTTCATATTTTAGGGATTTAGATTTGGGAAAATTATGAAATTAAAGCAAAATGATAACTATAATTGAGTAGAAAAAGAAGAGAATCAAGAAACAAAAAGGAAAATCATAAAGAAAAGGGAAATAAAAAAGAGACTCTTCTAATGCACGGAGGCAATTCTCCATGAGAAGAGTCGAACTCCACTCACAACAGTCACTTACTAACAATATGTTTGGTTTGAGGAAAACAGAAGGAAGGGAAAATGAATTTCATTTCCCTCCCCTCCCTCCTCTCATTTGGATAAGCCTCCCTCCCTATTAAAATTCTATACTAATCAAAAAGAAAAATTTTCACCCACTCCTCCCCTCCTCTTCCATCCTTTTCCTTTAAACTAAATATACTATAGGAGCATATCACCCACTTTCCATTACTTACGTATTTGAAAGCATTAAAGTTTGTTGTTTATAAATGTTAACCTTAATAAAACTAATAATTATATTAAAATCTTAATTATTGCATGAAATATAAAATATATATTTTTGAACTTTGCTTATGGGGTGGACAGAAGCGGTATTGCTTGCCACCTATTCAACCGAAGTTTGAGGGCTCTTGCCCTATTTCCCCTCTCCATTCCTTGAAAATTGTAATTTGTTTAAAATAAATAAATAAATAAATAAAATATATAGTTTTCATGGTGCCCTAGCGAGGAGTTTTAGGAGCAACAATTTTTTAAACAATATGACATCACATTTCACGCATGCCCTCGAAGAAAATCAATTAAAATTTAAAATATCTATTATAATAATAAAATTTATATTTTTATATTTTTATTGAAAAATAAAAAATTAAGACATCTTAACATTAAAAATTATCAAAATATTCAATTAAAATCACATAATAAAAAGATATAATGTAGGCCCTATTTAAGTTTCATTTATTATATAATTGAGATCAAAAGTCTTGACAGTTCTAATACCAACCTAAAGACTTATTTTTTATTTTTTTAATATTTTATTGTCAAAAGAGTATTTTATAAAATAGACTATATATTAAAATATAATTCAATTTTTTTATAAAATAGACTATATATTAAAATATAATTCAAGTTATAAATTTATTAAGATATTTTTAATGAAATTATTTCTTATATTATTTCATTAAAAATATTTTAATAAATTTATATGATAAGCTGTAATTTAATATATAATTTAGATTATAAGATATGAATTCCTCTTATTATTATTTTCCATTATTTTCGCTGGTTGCCCCATCTAAGACATCATCAAGCCATCCTTCAAGTGACACGTGTCCAACTACCTAAATTTCGGGTGTCCATGGAAGCCCATCGGATCAAAGACTCTCTCGAAGGCCCTCTAAATTCTAATCCCTTTTCAGGTCTCCAATTATATTCTTTTCTCTGTTTCATCCCCCGCCCCTGTCTAGGCCCATTTTTTTGTTTTTCGTATTTCTCAATTTTTCTTTGCATGAACTCCAAATCCATTCGAATCCCAGAAAAGAGCTGGTTTGTCTTTGTCACATTCTCGCTCCCTATTATCTGATTTTCACTCTGTCTCAATTTCTTTCTTGCACTTTCTCACCCACTGAAACTTTTCCCAGAAAAAAAAAAAAAAAATGAGGTGGGAGAGGGTCCAACTTCACCCCCAACATGTAGCTTCGCAACAAGGAGTGGAACTCGGTGACTCCTCTTCAGGGCCAGGCAAGAGATGGGGACACACCTCTAACGCTATAAAAGGAGGCAGATTTCTCTATGTCTTTGGTGGGTATGGCAAGGATAACTGTCAAACGAACCAAGTGCATGTCTTTGATACTGGTGGGTCATTCTCAAAATCTTTCTTTATTTTTATTTTTTTTTCCTATTTTTTAAAACTTTATTTCTATTCTATCTGTGAAAGAAAGGGGCAATTTTGGGGATTGCATTGTGTTTCTGTTTGGTATTTCAGACAAGGTTAGATTTTGATGGGTATAAGCCATGTCGATTGATTTTTTTATGGTTATTTTGAAGGAGTTCAATAGGGTTTTTCTTGGGTTTATTGTGCGGAATTTGGAGGGTTGTTGAGTGACATTAATGTTCTGATGTTTGCTATGTTAGCATTAATTGTTGGTATTAATGCTTCTTCATGCCTGCTATTCTGGTTGTTGGCTACTTTCCCGATTATATTTGTGGTATTTGCAGATTGGCATAAATGTAATATATAGCTCTCTAGGGGTCTCAGGTTATTACCCGAGGCGGGTGGGGTGGGATTTGGAAAAAGGGATGACCATCCCTGATAAATATATAATATATCTACACTTTTGTCTTTGTGTGCAATGCATGTGAAATTATATGGGTATACAGTTAGTCCCCTGCTTGTGAAGACAATGCCCTATACTAAATTTCATTTTTTGATGCATTGTATTGCTTGTATGTTTTCATTATTGCTTATACTTGGGTAGCCCTTTTTATTATTCTATCTTTTTTTGGTAGCATTAATGTTCTGGGTGGTGTAAACTCTTAAGGTTTTTTGTATTAACCACTTACATATCTGATAATTGGTTTGCAGCTAAGCAGACATGGAGCCAGCCAGTGATAAAAGGAACTCCACCAACTCCAAGGGACAGCCACAGCTGTACTGCTGTCGGTGACAATCTATTTGTTTTTGGTGGTACTGATGGGATGAACCCTCTCAAGGATTTATACATATTAGACACTGGTGAGTTATTTCCTTACCTTATATTCTCTGGGTTGCCTTTATTGCTCTCTAGAAATTGTTTGCTCATTGCATGATTTGTTGCAATTTTCTAAATAGTTCTTTTTTATGTTCATTAATCAGATAATACTGTTTAAGTTTTTAATAGAACTTAAATTTTGTTATGTTTTAACTTTTATTTACATAGGAATTAGGAGGTTAAAAAACTTTTTGTATTATTTGTGGATGTGGATAGATTTGAGTCTTAATACTCAAAATCATGCATTCCTTGTGTGTGGCTGGATGTAATACATAGCAGTATGCATTTAACACTGTTGCAGCCTCTCATACATGGATATGTCCAAGTGTAAGGGGTGAGGGGCCAGAAGCACGAGAGGGTCATAGTGCAGCTCTTGTTGGCAAACGACTATTCATATTCGGTGGTTGTGGAAAATCTTCTGCTAGCAATGATGAAGTATATTACAACGATCTTTACATATTGAATACAGGTAATATCTCAAAAATGGCTTCTTTTTTTATTTGCTTACATTGATATTAATTGCTTCAATCTGTAGTTTTATCGTCCAAAAGTTATATACTTGTGTGGGAGACCTTTGGTAATTGTAATGTGTAGGACTTTTCTTAGTCTTGCGTCTTATTTTTTAAATATTTTTCCTTTTAATTATCCATTTAGAACTAATTAATAGAGACAGAAAAGAAAAGTAAATTCACTCCATCTTTCTTTACTCTTCTATTGTAGAAACCTTTGTCTGGAAATGGGCTACAACATCAGGCAACCCACCATCTGCACGTGATAGCCATACTTGTTCATCTTGGAAGAACAAAATCATTGTGATTGGTGGCGAAGACGGGCATGATTATTATTTGTGTGATGTCCATATCCTTGATGCAGGTTTATTGTTTATCTTTCATAATTGTAAAGATCCCCATAGGTTCGTTTTTTTGTGTGCACCAGTGGTTTAGTATGCACATTGTTGCTGGCTTATGGTAAAATCCTTCTAGGATCTACCTATTAGCATGCAGATACATAAATCATAAATTTTATTCTATACTCTTTAACTTCTTTTTCCTTTTTTTTTGTCTTTTTCTTATTTGCACTAGATACTCTTGTGTGGAAGGAGCTGAACACTTCAGGCCAGATGTTGCCACCTCGTGCTGGTCACTCTACTGTTGCTTTTGGCAAGAACTTATTTGTTTTTGGTGGATTTACAGATGCCCAAAATCTATATGACGATCTCTACATGCTTGATGTTGGTATGTCTTGTATACTTGCTGATTATATCTTTACATGATATAAAGTATAAACTATTCAGTTCTGTTCATTCAGCAGATAACCTCTGTTTTAGAAAGTTAATGTGCACTCTTCTGCACTATGGCAGCAAGATGGCACCAGTCATTAGGTAGAAGTGTCTTTAAGTCATAATTTTCTGCAGTTGGATTCAATGCCTTATTGTGCATCATATAATCACATCTTGGTGCTCTTTATAAACGGTGAAAACTTGATGGCAAAGATTTTTTTTTATGGTTGAGGTCAGCTACTTGGTGAAATTTTATTATTGGGGTCTTTTGTATGAGAACCAGGAGCAGTGTGGCTGCCATGATTGTTGGGGACGTTGCACTGCTGGTTATTTTCTTTGTTTAATCTATTTTCCCTGTAGCCTTGGTAGGATATACAGAGATAATAAAATTTAAATTAGAAATGTGGAACTCATTTTTTCCAATTACCAATTCCCCACATTTGTGCAGATACTGGTGTATGGACCAGCATGGTGACTACAGGTGATGGACCCTCTGCTAGATTTTCTGTTGCTGGGGATTGTTTAGATCCTCTGAGGAGTGGTGTTCTTGTATTCATTGGAGGTTGCAATAAGAGTCTTGAGGCACTTGATGATATGTATTTCTTACACACAGGTTTAGTCTAACCTTTGAATTCTAATACTTGCCTGCTTGTCTTCTTCTCCAAGTTGGTCCCAGTAACCCTGCATATTGTCACGTCTCAATCTTGTGCCAAGTTGCTAATGTTCTTCAATATCTGGTTCCAGGACTTGTAATACGTGATGAAGGGAAGCTGGAGAAGCTATCCCTGAGGAAGCAATTGAAGCTGAAGTGTCAAGAACAAAATCTTGCTAATCCTGCACATGATAAAGCTCTCGTCAGAATTGAAATGAGCAGTGATATACATCAACCTGTGCCTCTGACAACTTTTGGTAAGCAAAGTAAGAAAATCTGCATTTTTCTTTAAGTGATCTTGCTTATTGACTGGTAGAACACTTAGCTGTTAGTTTCCATAATTAACAATCTCAACTGGGATTTGAATAGCATTCTTAATAGGCTAGTTGTTAAATTCCATGAAGACGGAAGATAAGGGCTGACTGCATTGATTCATCAATTTCTCAGTCATCAAAGAGCCTAGTGGAATGGTTGCAATGAACCTATCTTTTACTTATGAAAAAAAAAAAAAGTGTCAGTGCATACCAAAAAAAAAAAAAAAAAAAAAAAGTATCAGCTATGTATGTTCTGGTGCTTTTTGTAGTAAGAAAGAATTTCCCTTTAAATGTAGCCGAGCTTCAAGGGAAGAAGACATTTCAAGCAAAGGTTACCGAATGTTTCCCACATGGGTATACTATTGAAACTCTAATAGATGGAAAACCTCTTCGAGGAATGCTGTTTGCAAACAGGTCAATTTTTGCCCAGACAGCTGCCACTTATAACCCCAGTAGGTGAGGATTTCAGTTATTTGTTGTCTTTTTTTCTTCTCTTTTTTTTACTGGTTAACCAACCAGTATCAATAATGTGATTCATGTAACCTTATTCTGGCATGCCTTTACATTTGTGCTTGCAGCAGGAAAAGGGCTTCTGGAGAAGTTGGGGGCACTATATTAAATGGTGATTGCAATAATAAGTTAAAAACTTCTAGAATCCTTGGGCATGATTCAGTTGATTACCAACAGTCTCAGACTGTTCATGAAAAGGAGTCACCGTCACATGAGACAGAAGCTACTGCTCCAAGTTTGAAGAATGCCTCACTTCTTAAGGTTAGAGCTTCTTTCCTTTGTCTTTGATGGTGTTATTACTTATTTCATTCTCTTGCTGGAACTAGTGTTGTCACCAAGTG